TTCGCTTAAAACTATATTATAAGTAAATATAATATGGTAATACCATTTGTATCATGTCATTGCTTTCGCGGCTTGTGGAAAATGCTAAATAGTTTGTATTTGACAGGGCCGATGATGCTCGACAACCTATGAGCCGTGTTGTGCCCATTTCTTCTTCCCATCTTACCCCTTATCGTGTTGTGATCATTCTTCGATTGATCATCTTGGGATTTTTCTTGCAATACCGTACCACTCATCCAGTGAAAGATGCTTACCCTTTGTGGCTTACATCCGTTATTTGTGAGATTTGGTTTGCTTTGTCTTGGCTTCTCGACCAGTTTCCCAGATGGTACCCTGTTAACCGGGAGACATATCTTGAAAGACTCGCATTGAGGTAAGTGGATAATTAATGCTCCATAACTGTATCATTTTTTATTTTTTTTGTTTCTGAACTAACTTCTATCTCTTAATTGTTGTGTTGTCAGATATGATAGAGAGGGTGAGCCTTCCCAGTTAGCGCCGGTTGATGTGTTTGTGAGTACAGTGGACCCCATGAAAGAGCCTCCTCTTGTTACTGCAAACACAGTGTTGTCCATCCTTGCTGTGGATTACCCTGTGGACAAAGTCTCCTGTTACGTCTCAGATGATGGTTCTGCAATGCTCACCTTTGAGGCCCTGTCTGAAACTGCAGAATTTGCTAGGAAGTGGGTTCCCTTCTGCAAGAAGCACAATATTGAGCCAAGGGCCCCTGAGTTTTATTTTGCTCAGAAAATAGATTATCTGAAGGACAAGATTCAGCCTTCTTTTGTGAAAGAGCGCAGAGCAATGAAGGTGAATGTCCAGTTGTTGAATGTTAATATTTAATTTCATGGTTTAGTTTTCACGTTTTATTTGAGAAAGTAGGATTATCCTTATGTTTCGAGTCCCTTGAGCTTCATATGATCAAAAGAAGACTGCCTTTTTATTTTTAATTTTTTCATTTTTTTTTTTTGCAAAGCAAGAAAACAAAAGAAACTTGTAGTGTAACTTTATTACTCAACTTTTCCTTTCCCCCTTTTTCTTCAGAGAGAATATGAAGAATTCAAGGTGAGAATCAATGCTCTTGTTGCAAAGGCTCAGAAAATGCCTGAAGAAGGATGGACAATGCAAGATGGGACTCCTTGGCCTGGAAATAACACTCGCGACCATCCAGGAATGATTCAGGTATGTGTTTAAAGTTTTCATAGTAATTCCTTCTCTGTATTATACGTCTCGTAATTCTTTAATATGCGTAAAAATGAACAGGTCTTTTTGGGACACAGTGGTGGCCTCGACACAGATGGAAATGAGTTGCCTCGACTGGTTTATGTTTCTCGTGAAAAGCGTCCTGGATTCCAACACCACAAGAAAGCGGGTGCTATGAATGCTTTGGTAGGAGATTTATGATCTGATGGCTATGACTCTTTAATTTCTATGTGAGCTTATTTAATAGTAAATGATATCTCGGAATATGCTAGATTAACTTGGGACAAATGAGGAAACTAGTAATTAAGTTAGCTTACTAAGACATGCTTCGAATTTTATATCAATTGAAATGTAAGCTAATTGTTTCACTCTATTAGTTGAACTAATTCTTCACGTAAAGCATTTCAAAGTATGAGGTGGGACTTAAAAGCATGCAAAGGACTTGAGCGTAGCATTTCAGGATTCAATCCATATTTCACTAGCATTTTTATCATTTTCTTTCTTGAAATAAATAAACATTTTTATAATGTAATGTACTCTATTTCTTGCTTCAGATTCGAGTGTCTGCTGTCCTAACGAATGGAGCATATCTTTTGAATGTCGATTGTGATCACTACTTCAACAACAGCAAAGCTCTTAAAGAAGCTATGTGCTTTATGATGGATCCTGCTCTTGGGAAAAAGACTTGCTATGTGCAGTTCCCACAGCGTTTTGATGGCATCGATTTACACGATAGATACGCTAACCGCAACATTGTCTTCTTCGATGTAGGTGCCGTTGTGGTTTACACCTCTAAAATAAGTTATTTTAATAAACTGCCCCAACATTTAGCCTTACTTACTTCCACTTATTTTCGAAAAGAATTCAGATAGCTCTTAAATTTATAACTCTGGAAATGTACTTATTTATTATTAGGCTGGGTAGCCTTTTGTAATTAATCTTAAATTATTGGTACTTGCATTATTGGTTGTGCATTACTAATACAGATATTACTCCCTTCAGATGAACTTGAAAGGGTTAGATGGCCTTCAGGGCCCAGTTTATGTGGGAACTGGGTGTTGCTTTAATAGGCAAGCCCTATACGGGTACGACCCTGTCCTGACGGAAGAAGATTTGCAACCAAACATTATTGTCAAAAGTTGCTGTGGTCCGAGGAAGAAGGGGAGACATAGTAATAAGAAATACGTTGATAAGAAGCGAGCAATGAAAAGAACCGAGTCAACGATGCCCATCTTTAACATGGAGGACATGGAAGAGGGTGTAGAAGGTACAGTTTGCCAGAACTAGTGTTTTTCCATTTCATGGGATAATAATAAAGAATATATCTGTTACAAAACTTAAACCCCCCGCGCCAATTATCCAATTTCCTACTAGCAATTGATATTTGATATTAGCATTCTTCGTCTTTTCCAGGATATGATGATGAGAAATCACTACTTATGTCCCAGAGGAGCTTGGAAAAGCGCTTTGGTCAGTCTCCAGTGTTCATTGCAGCCACTTTCATGGAAATGGGAGGCATTCCACCATCCACAAATCCTGCTTCTCTTTTGAAAGAAGCAATCCATGTCATCAGCTGTGGATACGAGGACAAGACTGAGTGGGGCAAAGAGGTACATACATATGTGCATATTTTTAATGTGTGGTAGATTGCAATGGCTTGTTTAAAAATTATCAGAAGATTTACATATGAATTTATTGGAAGATTTCAACTTTTCTTGTTTGGATTCAGATTGGGTGGATCTACGGTTCTGTGACAGAAGATATTTTAACGGGTTTCAAGATGCACGCGCGAGGATGGATCTCCATCTACTGCATGCCACCTCGCCCGGCTTTCAAGGGCTCTGCTCCAATCAATCTGTCGGATCGTTTGAACCAGGTGCTTAGGTGGGCTTTGGGTTCCATCGAAATCCTACTGAGCAGGCATTGTCCCATATGGTACGGCTATCAAGGCAAACTGCAGCTCCTTGAGAGACTCGCGTACATCAACACCATTGTTTACCCACTCACCTCGATTCCCTTGCTCGCCTATTGCATTCTCCCTGCCATCTGTCTTCTCACCAACAAATTCATCATTCCCGAGGTAACCAAAAAATCAACTATGCGTTTTTGTGAAACTGGTCGATATTTTTGCTCTATGGACAAAAAATATAATTTGGAATTACGATTGACAGATCAGCAACTACGCGAGCATGTGGTTCATTCTGCTGTTTGTGTCCATTTTTGCCACGGGCATCCTCGAGATGCGGTGGAGTGGGGTTAGCGTGGAGGACTGGTGGAGAAACGAGCAGTTTTGGGTCATCGGCGGCACATCGGCCCACCTTTTTGCGGTTTTTCAAGGCCTTCTAAAAGTTTTGGCCGGGATCGACACGAACTTCACCGTGACATCTAAGGCATCGGATGATGACGGGGATTTTGCTGAGCTGTACGTCTTCAAGTGGACGTCACTCTTGATTCCCCCGACCACAGTGCTCATCCTCAACATGGTGGGGATTGTGGCTGGGGTCTCGTACGCAATCAACAGCGGTTACCAGTCGTGGGGCCCACTCTTCGGGAAGCTCTTCTTTGCAATATGGGTGATTGTCCACCTGTACCCCTTCCTCAAGGGTCTGCTCGGGAGGCAGAATCGCACGCCCACGATTGTGATTGTGTGGTCCATCCTGCTTGCCTCGATCTTCTCCCTGTTGTGGGTGCGCATAGACCCCTTCACGTCCGAGGCCACGAGAAGGGCCGCGCAGGGCCAGTGTGGGGTCAACTGCTAGATATACAGACAAGACAAATACTCTCTTTCCCTTTTTTTTTTTTGTTTGTGTGTGTGTGTGTGTGTATAGAAGAAGACAGGGATGGAGTGGAGTATACATGAAATTAAGGATGTTTGGGTTTACTTGGTATCTATATCACGGGTTGTTGCTTCTTGCTATTTGTATCCTATGGATTGGGGGTTCTTCCTGTTATTTATGGGGGTGACTCAAAAACTTTATTTTGTCCTGTATTGAAATCTTTCATTGAACAAGTAAATTATTTTATTTTAATTTTCAGTCATGTTTAAGATTTTCACATTGGAGGGTTGTGGTTAATGAGTAGCCATTTTTTTTTCTCCTCGAGTGCTGCATTGTGTTAACGTTAATCTATAGAAAGCTAGTTATTTAGAAACTTAATTTCAATGAAAACTTATTTGACAAAGTTTTTGTTGTATTTATGTAAATTTGTTCATTTGAAAACTTATTTACACATTTAAGTAGCCTCGAAACTGATCATAATTCATAGAAGTATATATTTACCTGTGCTGTATTTGTAAACTGACAAGCTACTAATTATTATTTATTTTTAAAAACTACCAAAGACAAAGCATTCCCAACTAATTTGATATATGAGGTAATTTCTATTTAATTATTTTGTATCATTTTCAAAGAACTACACGATCATGGACACAAAGCATTTTGGAGCATAAAACTCTGGGGAATGTGATTTTCTAATGACATGTTGATTTCTTTATTCTAATACAGATTTTTGAGAATGTTTAGGCATAAGATTAACATGGAGCTGAACAAAACAAGACTCTGGCATTAATAATAAAAAAAAAAAAAAAGAAAATTAACTAGAGAAGCCACTTCTCTAGATTCCCAACTCATTGCTTCTGTAATCTATTATTGAAGTGAAGCATACAAAAGACATATCTAAATAAAATACAAAAAAAAAAATTAAGGTCGTGAAATCGAAGTCAGGTCCAAGAGGCAAAATGCGCGGAAATGAATACAAAACAACACACCGCATGGTGGCCTCGTAAGGAATGTTACTTACTAGCCAGCCATGTTTCGCCTCAGAATCTCTTTCGACTTTTCCTGGAAATAAGGATGAATGGAACAAACGCCTTCAATGTAAAATGGCGTTTGCATTTCAATCAAGCGAGAAACCTGCACGCACCACATTGACTTCTTTAGATCGAATGTAATAAAATGTTATTTCATGTCACATATATGTCAGCAGTCTCTTCATCTCACCAAGATATATATTACTCATAAATAGTACTTCATTTCATATCACTCAAAGTTGAGCTGTTTTAACATTAATGCAAGTACATCCTGGGCACTTCTTTATAGGATTCTCTACATTGCGAGAGCTTTCTTCTATATGACTCAACCTTACATAAAAACTTGTCAGATAGTCATTTTTTTAAGGATAATTGCAGAAACTGCATGAGTTCAAATACTAAAACAAGAACTACCTTCCAAAGATTACAAATATTAGCGATGAGTTTTGTATCTAACAATATCCTCTTGAAGGTGCGATTTTGAAAATGGAAACAAATGTCAAGGGGGAGTTTGTAATTTTAATATATTAACAGATTTTTTGTAAGATACTTGCAGTTTTGCATTCTAAAATTGTGCCCGGTGATTAATGAGTAATTATTTATGCCGACAGCAACCCTTTGTTTCTTGAGATTAAAGAAAAAAAAAAAAAACTCACAGCTCTTCGAAATGCAAACATCTCCTCTTGAGCCGAAAGAATGGAAATAATGCCAGTGGTGTTTGATCTCCTAGAACTCACGTTTCCTTCAGCCATAACATCTCGCCTCAGCTTAGAACCTTCTATGTCCGTTTCAAACTGAAAACTGGAAAAAGGAGAACACTTTTATAGGTTCAATCAATAAATTACAGGTTGTGGACTAGAAAAGTTCAATACACTTTTCAAGGCCACATAAAGAAAAAAAAATAAAAAATACTCGCCTCTCCAAATCAAATAATGTTCCGTCTTCAGTTCCTTGAAACAGTTCATCAATAGAAGCAGCAGCAGAACAGTACAAGCAACAATGATGATTGTACAGTTCGTCGATTAATGTGATAAACCGCCTCGCCTGACAAAATGAAAATTATATCACTCGTAATTGTAAGATGGACTAAAATCACTGCTTATGATAAAAAAAAAAAATAATAATAATAATGTTACCGTGTCTCGTATACGCATGCTCATAACAGGAATAGCTTCTATGAAGACTGTGTGGTAGGTTTTAGCAATGGCAATATAATCAGCTGCTCCTATCTGCATGCTTGATAAGAGACCACAAATAATAAGCATTTATTGTTCTTAGGATTAATATTACAAATATGACATGGTCGTATTAGAAACTCCATAAAAGATTTCAAGGATTTGATTTTCATTTCAGACCATAAAAGAATTTAGTTTCAAGTACACTAATTTATTGTGGTTGCAGGCTTGCAGCATGTGCTCGCTTTTATTTACTGATGAAGTTGACCAATGATGTTTTTTCTGTCAAACTTCACTTTGCAGTTCGCAGTGCACGAGTCCGACATAATGCAAAATATATCTTTATGAAGAACATACTCTTTCATTGTAAATTATTTACACAAATCTTTATCCAAAAGGCAGAACATACCGGTTGGCCACATAGAAATTGAAATGAGAAACGTGCCACCCCATTGCAGCTCTCAGTGACTTCCAGTGTTCTGAACAAAAGTGAGTGAAAATACAAATATCAAAAACCAAAGTCCATAAAAATATCTGAGTTAGTTCTCATTGTTAAAGCACCTTCCAAACATCACTGGAAGAATTTGAGAAGTGACCCTCCCTCCTGACTGTCCCACACTCTTGTTCCACATATTCTCGAATTCTTTTGCATTGGTACTGTTTAGAGGCCAAAGAAAACGAGTCTGACAGAAAAACCAAGACAATTAATATTATGATTTTCATCTTAGAACCCCCTAAAAAATACAGACTAAAGACAAGCATCATAACTTTCGGTTCTTGCCTGATCGATTGAACTTTGTGCTATATGACGACGGTAATCAATTTCACTACCGACCAGAATAATTTCACTGTGGTCCTCCAGTTTGGCCAGAAACTCTTCAAATATCTCCTTTTGCATTCCATCCTGAAAAAATCAATGACGAAAAAACCATAAAATTAAAATAAAGAAACAGGAATAGATGAAAGAAAAAGAGAAAAAAGCGCATTTGTTGAGTCAAAAATAATATATACCTGGTTTAAATCCCTTGGCGTGCGATTACTGGTAGCCACAAGAACTGTCCCTGTACTCAATAATCGGCTAACTATTCCAGATAAAGCCACAATAGCAAATACATCGACTGTCTGCAACACAAAATCAACTTAAAAAAAAAAAGCAAAAGAAACGTACACGAAAAAAAAAAAAAGAAAAAAGGGCGAGCCAAATTTATCCATGATGCACTAATATAAGTTTTCTAGTCGCATGATCGCATCTAGGGAATAAATTGATGGACACAAGAAAACCTAGTAGAAATATTAGAAAAACAATGATATTTAAAAAAATAATAAACAATTTTGTAAAATCATATAGTAAATCACCTAACCTGTATTTCATCAAAGCAAAGAATACTAGCTCCCTTTTGATGTCCTTGCACGTCAGAAAGGAACTTGTCAGCAACAGCTGGAAGGATATTTTTCATCTTTATCTCTTGTTTATATCTTTCTTCCTCAATTAGCCACTCCTTAACTTTTGTATCAAAGGGAAGATTTGTAACCCAGTTAGAAATGCTCTGTTGAAGAGACTTTTCCAACTCTTGACCTTTCCATACCTTATGCATAAGGTCATGTATCTGAAGCATAGCCTGCCAGTGAAAATTAAAAAACAAATAGATTACAAAATAATATAAAATGAGCTGGAGGATAAGTTGACATTTACTGATTATGCCCTTCAGCTGAATCACTAATATACATGTCTCGTTACACCTTATTTTAGTAATATCCTCAGTGTGCTGAGAATCAAAATTAAACTAGAAATTGCAGTAAACATCGGGGACTATGCATACTCATATTTAACTGTTTCAAGGACTGAAATGAAAAAAAGCTTGATACTCTTCATGATTTAGTACACACAAAGTATATTATGAACCGTTCTTTCATATGCCCAACACATCATCAATATGAACCAATGGCACATCAAGGAAAGTGAAAATTGAGGTTTTACCTCATGAAAATGAAGTCTTCTCCTATGTCGAACAATTCCTTCCGTGGCACCATAAAACATATCCATAAGCATTGTTTTCCCTATAAAAACATACTGGCTTTAGTTTTCCAATGACATGAGAGGTCCATATAAAGAAGGTTGTGGCATAGCGACCTGAATTAAATTAAACTAAGAACATGTGATATAATTAGAATTTTAAAATCAAAGAAAAGAGTGGGTAACAGATAAAAATGACAAACCACTTCCAACATTTCCATAGATGTAAAGTCCTTTTGGGGCTGGAGGAGCAGTCGGACACTGGCCAACCAGTGAATCTAATTTCTTTTCTCGATTAAGATATGAGACCCATTTTCCCACTCCTGGTTCAACAGTATCATTTCTGATCAATCAGGGAAAATTCTATCATCAGCAGAGAAAGAATCCAAAGTGCAAGATGAAGAAGAAACAGTCCTGTCTTCCAGATTTAATATATTTCATTAATTTCAAAGCTCGCAATAAAATTAAATTACATTGTAGCAGTCACTAGTTCAAGGGATCCCAAACGGTATAAACTCCAACTGTAAGAGACAAAAATGCGACTTATTTGCATCTACTTAACAGGCAATTCTTACATGCCCCTATTAAAAAAGTGAACATAACGAGTTGGAACTGGTTGACTCGCCTTGACATCCACTTTTGAAAAAAGTTCCGGCGCTTGTTTACAGATGTCGAAGGATCGCCTTCCTGTTTTGACTTGGCTTCTTTCATCAAAAGCCTCCGCCGCTCGTTCTCCCGGTTCTCTTCCCATTTAGCAAGGTTCGCCTATCAACTCATAATAAACACACATATCAAAGAAAGGAGCATGAGCACAGAAAATACAGAAAAAAAAAAAATAATGAAATGCATCATCTTAAACATAAATCCCACATGGTATTCCTCCATGTCTTTCTCATATTGGTCCAGTCTCCCAAGCAAACTATCAAGTTCCACAGCAACCTTTTCCTGGTAAACGTCATGTTTCAACTTCCCTTGATTAACTAGACTTTTATAATAAGCAAGTGGCCCTGTAAGGAAGTCTGAGTGAGAATTCAAAGCAAAACTCAACGAGGGTCAGTATCGAATTTCATCTGGTTATAGATAGGAAAGCTTAATCACAGCCTGAATTCTTTGTAACTGAAAGCTATACAAGTCTCCATGGCAGTGTACTACGATTATTGTACGAAAAAACTTGAGTGTATCATACAACATAACATGCATATTTTCAGCTCATTAAAGTGTTAGGGGAAAATAGGCAAATTGCATAAATGATTTTATGATTTCAAGACTGCTGCACAAAACAGAGCCAATTATGAAACATAACATTATCCACTGTAGTACGTAACACTTGGGAAGAAGCTTAATGTCCGGGTATCCATTTCACGGAACCAGAAAAAAGACTCACAATCAAGTTAAAAAAAAAAAAAACCAATTGAGAA